ATTATTATGTTGTTATCGCTCTTCCATTGTATAAGATTGTGAAGTGGCACAAAAATTTTAGATGGTGCATGGCAGCATTAATGGATCACAATATTTAATTCCATGTAAAGGTCATCCTGAATTCCAAGCAAAAGGAACAAGGACTTGGCAGAGGAATACATCAGATTTGGGTGAAGGTATGTGTGTCAGACTTTGGAGATTTAATTTTGAATAATTGACAGGTGCATTTTAATTCCATTTTGTTATTTTCATTTTTAGCACTTAAATAAGAAACACCATTGTTTCAGATGCTCTGGGCTTACATTATTCCAGAACACCATGATCTTGTTTTAGCTTCATGGACAGGAATTATCTCATAGAGTAAATGAATTTTTTTATGACGACTCTCTTTAGAAGATGAAACGACAAATATCTCCAATAAAAGTTGATTCACATCGTTATCAGTAGAAGTGATGCTTCCCCATCAACACATTTGTGAAGCACATTCCTCTGGAACTGCGTGTCTACATGAATTGTTTAGGAAATTGCATTTATATTCATTTCTTCCCTTCCACTTGTATTATATTAAGCTTCAGATTCTTTTGAATTATGCTACATACATAGTGATATTCAGCATGTGAGTAATAAAACTATATTTTAACATTAAAAAATTACGTTGACATATACATTAATGTCAAACTTTGTTGACCAAGACACACAAGCAAACAAACACTGAAGTCTTGCTAGATTTGAATAAATTTTGTCTAAATAAAAGCTGGACAATGAAACAAAAAACATGTAGAGCTCTATGTCAGTCCCTTGTCTTGAAGAAGGTAAGATAGTGTTACTCAGAGCTGGATAGTAAGCCACCAATGAGAATGGCTTGAGTTGACTCTGTCAGCTGTGCTTTACTGGGCTTGTTTACTTTGTATTGTGTGTCTGTGACCTTCCCCACTCCCACTTGTTTCTCTGAACTCTGTTGGAGAGCCAGTACATTCTCAATACCCATAGCAATAGGAGAGTAATAATATTAATTATTATGGTGAGTCCAATAGTCAGCCAGATAATTAGACTGGATTTTTATCTACCTATTGAGTCCTTCCCAAGAATAAGCAGATTGTTTGATGGTGTTAAATAGAATGTAAGCTGTTCTAAGTAAAGCTGCCTTTTGCAACCAACGGATGATGATTTTGTCAATGCCAATATTTATTATTATTATTATTGTTTGTAATACTATGAGTTAAGGTAATATTACATTACTTTCATGTAATAAATATTTGGGGGTTGATGGACAATCTGAAACTTCATGAAGGGGTTGATGACCTGAAGAGTTTGGGGGCCACTGATCTAGGAGCTCGAGTTCACCTTACATAGCACCCCCTCCTGCAGTTGTTCCCCGCAACAACCACCCTGAATTGGGATGGGCTCATAGAGAAAGAAAGGGGGCTGTCCAAAACCACCCAGTGAACTTCTATGGCTGAGATTCTCCCTGATCCTAGTTCTTAATCACTAAACCACACCTGTAACTCTGGAGTAGATGGACCAATGGAAATTAGAACTCTATGCTTTATATTCTACCCACTTGGACATTGTTATCTCAATTCCTCCATGCTAGGCTCGCTTGCTGGTGGGTTTTTACGGCAGTGATAACAGTGGGCTGGGATTGAGAACGTTTTTGTCCCCAAGTCTTTTTCTACCCTATCCCAATCGAAAGACCTTTATAATGTACAAGATGTTAAGCCAGTGGCAGAACTTTAATGGTATTGTGACTTGACACAGCTTTGATTTATGCAGATTGAGCTTTTAGATTCTTTGTTTATTCTTATGTATTCCCCTCCAAATGCATGACATGGATGGATCAGGTATTGGCGCAGGCTGTAATTGCCCATGAAACATGTATGAGTTTCACATCAGTAGGTGAAACCTTCCCATTTATTGGTTGCTTCCTTAGCCATACAGAGAGTTGGACTTGATGACCTTAGCAGTCTTTTCTATTTTCATGGTTCTATTATTAGGCATAGAACTGTTCAGCATTTTTTATTTTGGTGTGTTTTGTAGGGAGCTTTCCTGAGAATGAAAAGTATGTCAACTATTAGTACATAAATATGAAATATAATAATAATAATAATAATAATAATAATAATAATAATAATAATAATAATAATAATAATAATAATAAAGTTGGAAGGGACCTTGGAGGTCTTCTAGTCCAACCCCCTGCTCAGGCAGGAAACCTTATACCATTTCAGACAAATGGCTGTCCAGTCTCTTCTTAAAAACTTCCAGTGTTGGAGCATTCACCGCTTCTGGAGGCAGGTCGTTCCACTGGTTAATTGTTCTAACTGTCAGGAAGTTTCTCCTTAGTTCTAGGTTGCTTCTCTCCTTGATTAGTTTCCATCTGTTGCTTCTTGTCCTGCCTCCAGGCACCTTGGAAAATAGCTTGACTCCTTCTTATTTGTGGCAGCCCCTGAGATATTGGAACACTGCTATCAAATATTATCACTACGATGATAATATTTAAAGAGGTTTAAAAATGGCATTTGAGATTGAAAAGAGATAATGTAAAGAGCAAGTATCGTCACTTTTTTAAAAAAAAAATCCATTCTACATTTTATGTAACATATATTTTAAATGACAGGGTGTACAAAGTCCCCTGTCATTACTAGAACATGTGTTTATTCATCTTACATAGCAAGTCTATTTTGGGGGGGTTTCCTGAATGTTGCACTTTATGTAGTGATTGATTTTCAAACAGGCACTTTTGATTTTCACAGTGGATTGTAGGGAAATGGTTCAATAAAATGTTATTACAGAAAAATCCATAATGTTTCCTATATTTAACTCTCTTGATAGGAGGGGTAGGCAGAAAAGTTTGAACCAATCACAGAGTAAACACCTACAGTATTAGGGAAACTGATATGTAGCCTAGACGTTCTCCACCAGCTCAAACTAGAAATTATATTCTGTCACTTCAGGAAGTTATAATCAGCCATCTTATTTCTAATCACATTTGGAAATATTCAGTCTAACTACTTTATGGATATTAGAGACTTTAAAAACAGAGAGTTTAATTTGACTTCTGGTGAGTTTATTTTCTTTGGATTTCATGAATTTTAAACAGAGACTTAAGAGTATAAAATAATATACAATTGGTAAAAAGCAAAAAAAAAAGTAGGTAAAAGTTAGGCAATTGGAAGAAGAGGATTTTTTATTTGTAATTTTAAAAGAGGGTGAAAAGTTATATTAGCTTATGCTCAGTGTAATGAATTTTGGAAACCATTTCTTTATTATTGTCTTTGTTGACCTTTTCTTTTCTCTTTTTCTTTCCTGTACCTCTCATTTACTTTTCTTTTTCCTTCTAGTTACTTTGTATTAGGTTTATTATGTTTGCTAAAAACTTCAATAAAATTATTTTTTTAAAAAAGAAATCTACAGAGTCCAGTTGCCCTATTTTGGTAGAAACCTATGTTGGATTGACAGGAATGCAAAAAAATATACTAAGCTTCCTACTTCATTACTTAAAATTCTATATATCAGTATTAACCATGCTTGCAGAATGAATTAGTTAAGTGACTGGAGAATTTCTGGTGGGCCAGAGAATTTCTGAAATCAAGTAACCCCATCCATTATTTTATATGGTGAGCATTAGTTATTTTATTCACTGCACAATATGCAGCACATTTCTTGAATTAGACATAATTGATCAGCCTAATGGTTAGTCGCCAAAGTAAATGGCTTAGAAAATTTATCCAATTGTGAGCCTATATTAAATATACAATAGTTCTCAAAGCCTTGGATCCTATTCATGGCACAGCCCCAGAAAAGCATGCCCAGTTTTCTTAATAGCCCCAAGTCTCCCTCCCCCAAGCAGAAACCAGCTCTGTAGAAATGCAGATGTAAACCTTTCAGGAAGGTTGAAGCTAGAAGATTAAGAAGACAAAGACACCTAAAATCTACATACCCCACCCAAGCTCTAAGACAGGACATAATAGGATTAACCCACAGATGCCAAAAGGGCACACTCAGACTCAGGTCAAAATACATGATACAGGAAATACAAAGCTTCAAACAGGAACAGGAAACAACCTCAAGAGCCCCAGAGGGTATAAAAACCCACTCCCTACATGTGCTCACTCTTTTTTCTTCCAGAGCCATTGTTCTGTCTGGCTCTCCTCTTCAATAAACTGCAACCTTCTTTCTAAAGCAGTCGCCATGTTGTTTATTCCCGGCTTGGACTGAACCACTTCAATACATGTATTAAAGTAATGGGGCTTAACTCTTGATTCTGTTGCATTCCAGGCTTCATTGGATCCACAGTACCTGTTATTTTCCCTGGAAAAGAGTTCCCATTTGTGCCAACCCTGGTTGCTCTCCTCATGATACAAATAGCAAGCATGGAAGAACCAACTGGGATTGCAGAAACATCATACTTTGGGCCATATCTAAAATATGTTAGTGCAGACACATTTTGGAATGGTTGGAAGTCAAAACAGACAAGCCATCTACCCAAGCCACTAGATCAGTGGTTCTCAACCTTTTTAATGCCGCGACCCCCAACCGGTTGTAAGTCGAGGACTAAACCGGTCGTAAGTCGAGGAATAAAGCAGTCGTAAGTCGAGGAATAAACCGGTCGTAAGTCGAGGACTTTCCCTGCCCGGGAGCGCCGCGCATGCGTGGTTCCGCCCCCTGTGCCGGCCGAGGCGTAGCTGACAAGCGGCAGAGACGGAGCAGGCCGACCACCAGCTGGCCCAGCTCAAGGGAGGTAAGGCACCCGCTGGAAAAGGGGGAAAAAATGGCGGACAGCCTTGCTTGGCGACCCCCGTGAAATGGTCGATCGACCCCAAATGGGGTCGCGACCCATAGGTTGAGAACCGCTGCACTAGATGACAGGTTCTTAGGAATGTTCATTTCCCTTTCATAACAAATTGTCAGCATTTGCTACATCCATGGAAACATCTACATGAATTGAAAGTAAAATCCTGAATCCATAGTGCCGACCCATTTCCGGTTTCTGTTCTTTTCTAGAAAATCAAATAATAGCCCCAGTAGAACAGATTGACTAACATGAAAAAAAAAGGAAATAACCATTTCGAATAGCGATCAATCTTGCTTGGATTTTGAATTGTGAAATAGCTGGTGAATTTCTGAAATTTGTTCTTCAAGAGGCACTGAATTTTATCCTTTGGGCTCAAGGGTAAGCTGTTGCAAAAGTCATTATCAATATAGACAAAATTTATTTTTTGATTGAGATTGGCAGTGAGTGATGTATTGAAGATATCAATGGTGATTTTATTTTCAGCTTCTCTGGTGGAATCTTTTGTAGAAGTCTAGAAGAGACCACAGTTACAGTTAGATGACAGAGGTATGTTGTGACTTAGCAAATTCAAACTTAAAAAAATAAGCAGTTTTAAAAAACAGACTTCAGTATGACTGCTGATAATGTAACCTCACTTTGGGATTTTAACAAACAATGGAAGTCTTAGCAAAAGCCAAATTCTGATTCACTAGTACTAAGGCCAGAAGGATCCTCCCCCCAAAAGAGAAATAATAATACCTTGTCTAGGTATTCAATCTAGATTCTAAATATAAACATAACTTTGGGAATCTCTTTACCTGAATAAGTTTAATTCTCTCGTAACACCACAAGCAGCATTGTTGCTCACAAAAACATGCCATGATCCTCTAGTTAATTCTGCTTGGACTCTGAAACCAGGCAGAAAAGAAGGGAGAATAGCCTTGGCTAGTCTATTTAGCTTCATAGTCCATGGGACTCCACCATATTCATCTTCTAAACCAACCTGCTCTCCTCATGGGCAAGGCAGGAGAATGATCCATCCAAAGCTTTGGAGTAAGAACCCGCTGCTAGTCTACTCAATTTGTATAGGGAAGGAAGGGAAGGGCAATGAAGATCCCCTGACTTCCGGGTCCCAAAGGAAGGTCATAGGCTGAATTAAAGAGAGTATTCACCTTCTTTCTTATAGTCTGACTTGTTTCTTCAAGAACCATTTCTGGGTTTGGAGGAAAGGAGACCCCCGGCCTCTTCCCCGTCCCCCCAGCAAACTATGCAAATCCACTGTCTAATGTTAATGTTAAAGTCTGATTGCAGCTTTTCCAATTGCTTTACTGTCATATCTCCTAGAGGGAACAAATCCATGTATAATTATCTATCTATATACGTCTCTAGCGATCCACCCATTCATTCGTCCATTGAAAATGTTTGTTCACTACATAATCCGACTGAACAAGGTTTACCTTCTGGGTCTCATTAGCTGCATGTTTATGTGATGTGATGTAATGTGCTACTGCATATTCCACCAAAGCCCCAAATATAAAGCTGAAGCAGATGCCCAGGTAAATGTCAATGGCTTTTATGAAACCATTGGCATTTGTTATTGACTTTCGGGACCCCATCATCAAAGTTGTCATTGAGAGAACTGTGGTCACACCTAGAAAATATAATAGGATTTTAAAAATAATAATAGTAAAAAAGAACACAGAATACTTTTGCAGGATCCAATCTGGGTCAGTCTTGTGCTGGAGCCCATCTTCAGAGAACTTCTCTCTAGCCAGAGAGAGGTTCCCTGAGAATGGGCTCCAGCACGACTCCGAAATCTCGGAAGAAAAAGACCTCTAGTCCCAATGATCAACCCAGATTGCATCCTGCAAAACATTATCCTGGGACACGTATATTCACCTTCATTCGTTAGTATATATATATATATATATATTTTGGTCTTAAATTTGACACAGTAGATGGTTCTCCCATGGGTACCTTTTTATGAGAAGCCACGGATAATCATAATCACCTGGTATTTTCTGATATGTGAGAATGCTTTTTGATTTTGTTTTTAGGGCCACATTGTTAAATCCTGAAAGCTTTTGATGAGATGATAGCAGAAAATATTTCCCCCATTTTTTTCCTCAAATGGATGAAGACCCAGGAAGAAAAAAACAAGGGGAAAAAAAGGGATGTCATGCCATTTGGAAGAAGGGGACAGCTGTCCTACAGTTCTGCAAAACAGCCACATAACCAAATAGATTTTCCCCACATAGCATTTATACTGTAGAAGTGGAGATGAATTAAAATCTCCATTCAAACTGTGACATTGTCAAAATAATAAAATATCTGTTCTTTCTTTCTTTCTTTCTTTCTTTCTTTCTTTCTTTCTTTCTTTCTTTCTTTCTTTCTATCATCTTTCTTCCCATCTTTCCATCTTTTTATCCATCCTCAGTCAGACCTTTCTACCATCCAGCCTTCAAGGACAATTCAACTTGTTTTCAAGAGTAATGCAAAGGGTCTTGGAATAAGCATAGCATGTGCAAGGGCATTACTGAATTTTACTCCTTCTTATATGAAGGAAAAGGAATATCCTAGAACATTATATTCTTAATATTACAGAGAACATTAATGATGAGCAATAATGTAGTGATGGGAGATACATCTTTTGTGAAATTTGAAATTTTCAGTGAGTTGGCACACTATTACTAATCTTCTGCTTGAAAAATATCTGATAATGAATTTCCAAAACACTTGAGCATCCTCAGAAGACAGTGTAAAATATAAATACATAATATTCCATATTTTGATGTTGCTTTAAGATTGACATAGAATAGTATTTTAAAATTTTTATTTTACGTTTTTTTATCCAATACTGCTTTTTCAGATACCCTGTCAATGATGTTGGGCAACTTATAGCTTATGAGATTCTACCTATAAACCATGCCAAAATCAAAATCATCAGGTGATGCCAACCAATACAAATCATGCAATATCTATCATTTTTACATTCCAGATGCAAAGTCAAATAATGAATGCCTCTACAACTTCCCATCCAAAATGTGAAGAAAAAAAAGGAAACTCCACCAATATGAAATTCTGGTGGGTATTCATTTAGCTCTAGACATTTTGCTAGCGTAATGTTTTAATTCTTACATTTAACATAATCTGTGTTTTTAACTAAGCAAAGTTTTCCTCAGTCCACCTCTCATTTTTGCATCCATAAAACAAGTGAGTCTTTTTTATGTCACTCACCGATACATGTTCTTGCAGGAACTGAATCCAGGGTGATCCAGAAAGAAACCCAAGATAAAATGACAAGTAGACTGCTGGGCACATAAGTTTCCAGAATAAAATAAAGGATATTTCTCTTGAGCGCAAATTGCAAGACCAGTCTTGGATAAATGCCTGGTCCAAGAAAGAAAAAAATGTAATATATTCTTATACTGTTATTTCAGAGAAGGAAATGATGTGCTACTTCTCACTAGGCACTAGATTACTCCAAAGGTCCTAGTGACATGATAATAATATAAGGTAGTGTAAACTGTAAAGGCTGAGCATGTGATTTTGATAGGGTATCTTGCAGAAACAGTGGGAGCAGAGCAGAACTAGTTCATATACCTTGGCTTTGCTGGCACTGGTTTTCTCCTTGTAAATGATCAGCAAAATGAGAGGAGAGTTTTCAAGACCATTTCATAAATCTTCTCTTTACCCTCCAGAGGAATCCTTGGCTGTCAAACTGAGATGTCCGTGACAGCCAATTGGCTTAAAAATAGTCTTAGAGGCTACCATCACAACAGCCATGCAACCAGGGTAGACCAGAAGGCTTGTCGATCTATTGCCTACATCTCCTAAAATGTGATATTAGCCTTAAGATTAGCATTATTGTCAGTGCTGTTTTCAGCCTGGCATGTAAAGCAAGAAAAGGTGACAAGCCACAAGCAAACCAAAGAGCTCACCCTAAATTTGGATGCCCAGAGTGGAGCCTTTTCTACATGCTGTGTTTATTGCAATGTTCATCTCCGAATCACATGGATTCAAGAAGAAGAGTCCTCCCGCAAAAGCTGATGAAGCACCTGATATCAGAATCAAAGCTCATGCAATGCAACCAAGCCAGAATTACCCTATCACAGAAAGATCTTTGCAGTGAATCAGCTGGGCCATATACAAATACCAAGTCGGATTTTTTGGCATACTGGGTGCCAAAATGGCTATTATAAAAGAGATCCACTGTGAGAAATTGGCAATTCAGGGCAGGGCAGAAATTTTGGTAGACTATGAAGCAAGATTATGGGATGTGACAACATGGTGTCATCAATTAGTTCTCAGTGTCACAGCATTCTCGCTTGTGTTGTTGGGATTGGGTATCTTTTCCTTCCAGCTCTAAGGCTACTTTAGTCAGCAAATGCCTCGGACAAACTGTACTGTCATTGTCAGAAAAAGCTTCAGGGGTGATCAGGGCACCGAAAATAGTTATATCAGACATAAACCTTGTTCTCCACACTACCTTGACTTCCACTGCTGATTTGTTACCTGTTTCTTGACGCGACCTGGTTACAAGCGTGTAAAAATGTTCCACTGTGTACTGTGAGAGTCGCAAATTCTCAAGGCCATGGACAGAATCATTTCCCCTCAGCCACATGAAACGTACATCATTTTCATCATATCCCCCTAATGATAACGTTAAAAAGAAGAAAAGGTCATTGAGTAAGGAGCTGAGTACCGGTGAGGATCATCCCAGCTATTGGCAAAAAAAGAACAAAAGCCAATTAGCAATTTTATGAGAACCTTACTCTTGCAAATATGGAAGCATACCCATGTTCTTTCCTTGACATCAGTTGTAATTTTCCAGAGCATTGAGTACCATAGTGGAGAATATATGTGGCTCAAGGTTGAGTTGTTGGGCTTTTTGATATTCTGTGAGTTTGTTTGTCTTCCTGCAGATGATTTATTACCAGTGCACTGCACTGATGATGGTACCTAGCCAATTAATGAAACATCTGCAAGAGAAGCATCCTCACAGAACACCAAGAATGCCACAAACTTAGGTGCATTTTAAATTTGATTCAGAAGAGCTGGAAGATGGGAAGCCCACTTCCACCAGTCCACCTCAGCAACTCCTACTTTTGGATGCTGCCTTTATCTTGAGAGGAGTGGGCAATCAGTATTCCATGAGTGCAGATAATGATCTCAAGCCATAATGATCTCATGGTAATTAATTCAGACCGATTATCCATTGGAAGGGGAGAATTATCAAACCAATTGTAAGTTTAAGATGGAGCAACAACAATAGTTGCACTTAGCGAGAAATTTACCTTCAAGGGTAAAGACATAATTCCTCAAAATAAAAATTTCATAGAAAAATGGAAAACACAAAATGCAGACAGATTCTGTGCATTCCTTCTGAGTCTTGGAATAACTCCTCTTTGAACCTCCTAGCTGATTGGGTCTAGGAGCTGTCATGTTCTTTTATCTCTTCTATACCTTCCCTTGATTCAAAGTTAATAAATTATGATTTATACCTAGAGTTTTCCCTGATTGCCAATCTCTTGCAGGGTGATTCCTATATTTTCCTTGCCTCCTTTAGCATGGCACCTTTAATAGCTCCTCCAACCCTTTCTGCTTCAGAGCAAATGAATAGAAAGTTGCTCAGTTCTCATTTTTAGCTGGTACAGGAATGCACCCCTAATGAATCACTTGGCTGAGTTGTGCTGCCTATGAAAATTAGGCTAGAACAACAAGGGAAGAAAGAGGACTGCCAGTTATCCTTGTCATATGAAATATCCTTCCTTCCTCCCTCCCTCCCTCCCCCCCCCAAGGAGTCTCTCCTGAAAATGCAGAGCATCCATATACTGTAATTGTTACAGACGTGGTCATTTTTGTTCCAAGACAGAGACAGACAGAGATTTGCAGGCCATTTCACACTATAGCTTTTGCCCTCTTAATAATGAGGATAAATACTTTGAATGAAACTCCCGATCCATCTAAAATAGCTATTTCTATAGCAAAATAAATAAAGGCTTAGGATGCAACTATTTAACCAATTCAGACATTGGGACAAGTCTGCCCCTTCCCTCATTCCTCAGACATAAATTATTGCAAAATCTAAGAGGTGCACAGCTCTCCTAAAATCAGAGTGCAATAAACAAGCAAATACTTTAGTTTCTTGGTAATTTATGTGTGGATCTGTCATTCAATAAAAAAGACAATATTGTCATGTAAAAAGCCCTGATGAATATCCCACAGTGAGAAACTGTGTTTTACCCTAGGCAAACATGAGTAAATCAAGTATCTAATACTACAGGAAGTTTTTATTCTCCTAGTACAATTTATCCAAATCTTTTTTTTCAAAATTTCTGCCTATTTCATAATAGTGATAGCTGCAGTTACTTAGGGAAACTATGTAATAAATGACTTGTTTTTCATCTAGAGATTGTTCATTTAGTATATTTAAATTGCATTAATTCTAGACATTTATCGTACTGGCTTCTGTTGTTGGCAATGTGCATATAGTTTAATAAGAATAATATTACATGAAAGTTTGATAGGGGAACCAATTATTTTCTCTCTTTTGTGCCAATTTTTTTTAATGCTAAAACCAGGTACATATTAAAAAGAAAATTAATCATAACCATTTTAGTTTTCTGCATTGTAAATAAAGTTAATCATGCAAACTAATAGGATTTTAATGTGAAAATAATAGTGACTTCCATTGGAACTGCAGTCTAGTAGCTGGGAACTAAAAATTGGCCCTCATATAATGAGATTTAAGTAATTATTGAACATGTTACAGAGAAGAACAAAGAGAAAAGTCTTCAAGTTCTTCAGGCTTCATGTGTGTGTCCAAGCAGGAAGCACTGAGAAAATGTCAGAAAGGAAATAGAAGCAGTTGAAGTGGGTATATATTATCGATTGATAAGAGGATGAGAAAGTACTTCCGTTCCATATGCGAAAGGCTGTAATAGATGCAAAATAAGAGATGAAAATGCCACCTCTTTTGGACATTTTTAAAGATGAAAAATTAGTGGCAAAGTCACAAAGGTGCTAGCTTAGTTGGAAAACCATGCTACTTGGATGAAATGTGCTAAAAAAAATCCCTTAGGTGAAAAGGTGGCATGTAACAAATAAAGCTACTAAGGATCAGGATAATCTTTATTCACTGCCCAGGGGCCTTGTGTGCAGGAGATGTGCGGTTAAAAAGTAACTAACTAGATAGATAGATAGATAGATAGATAGATAGATAGATAGATAGATAGATAGATAGATAGATAGATAGATAGATAGATAGATAGATAGATAGATAGATAGATAGATAGATAGATAGATAGATAGATAGATAGACAGATAGACAGATAGACAGATAGACAGATGATGTTCAAGCAAACCTGCTTAAATTTAGCTGTAACGTTGTTGTTATCCAAAATGGTATAAATAATACATCTAGACCAGCAGAAGAATGGGGTTGTTTAGGGATCAGGATCGATGACCTCCTCTGGAGCAAAATTTGTCGCATAATGCTGTAATATATTGCAAGTAATTCAATTTCAGACTCAGTCCAGTAGTAGAAAATCTGTCAGATAATGTCAATTTAATAGTCACTTGTGCATTTTTTCTGGATTTTGATTGAGCTGATTAAGAGCCATGGTGGTGCAGTGGTTAGAATGCTGCATTGCAGGCTAACTCTGCCGACTGCCAGGAGTTCGATCCTGACAGAGCTCAGTGTTGACTCAGCCTTCCATCCTTCCGAGATCGATAAAATGAGGATCCAGATTGTTGGGGGAAATAGGCTGACTCTATAAACCACTTAGAGAGGGCTGTAAAGCACTGTGAAGCGGTATATAAGTCTAAGTGCTATTGCTATTTCCTAAGATATTCTCACTCTCAGCTAGCTAGCGAGCTACTAAGGAAATGTTCTTGCACACGCACCAGGTTTGTGATTTCTCAAGTTAAATAAAAGTTGACAAGATTTTGTTCCATCTTCCTTGTTCAGATTTTTAAAAAGTGCCATACTGAAGTGAATTAAAGGACTTCAAAACTCCCCAGATCATGAGAAGATTTTAAATTGATGCTAGCGAGTGTTCTGATGGCTAGAAGTTCTAATCTAGCTCTAACACGGAGTATGTACCACTTCTGTCAATAAGGGTCAGTAGTCAGTATAGTTCAAGTACAACAAATGCTCTGAATCTGGAAATAAATGATAACAGCAGAAAAGAACTCTAAAGATATTTGGTCCACTTATATTTCATTCCAAAGGAAATTAAATCGGTTTTAGAAGGATTTACAAGGAATAGATTTGTCCTCTATCTCATCTGGGTCATAGCTCACAGAAATGTCCCAATCCATCTCTGAAGTCACAGGTCCAAATTACTGTCTGAGCTGAACCCTAACTAATCTACTGATTAACTATATCATAGTAAGAGGCCAATTGATAAGTAGACATGGTGATTTGGAGCCCCTCCAAGACTGGTGGTTGCTTTACTTGCCTAATCTTCCTGTATCTTAACAATTGTTGAGTTATTTTTATGTGGAATGACAAAATTTCCTTCATTACATTTGAATTTCTTAAGATATTTCCTTACTTCCTTACGTGCTGTTTTGTTTCAATTGCAGATCCTGCAATGGGTCATGAGTGTTACATTGATACTGACCACATGAGGATTACTTGACTGAAATGGAAGACATATTTCAAACCAGCATATTATAGAAGCAGAAGGTTTTTTTTAATTTTCAGCATCAATCAATGCTCTTCATTATACCCCAAAATGCTGTGGTGGCAATTCTAGAGTGCTTGCTCCCTTAATAGTAGCTCTGAACAGGGAAGAACTATTACAGGGCCGTGTTTTGTAAAACTTTAACAATGATAGTAAAAGTCTATTGAATGCCCTCATCCAAAGTCAAGAAATGTTACTCTGAGGATGGCAGTCTATTGCCATATCTGTCACATTTCCTGAAAGAGGCTTTCAAGACCACAAGAAGCTGAAAAATATGGAATGACTCAAGACAAAAGAGCACTTGCCCCCAATTTAGCTTATTTTTAGGTAGATGTCAGCAAAGTTTTCCAGCACATAATCAGCCCATTCATAAAAGCTGCCTGCATAGAGATTGGTGTAAAGTCAAGATGCTGGCCCGTCTAGCTGAATATGGCACGGCTCTTTCCATGCTTTTCTGTAACATTAGAATGAAGTGAAAAATCTTTAAATAATTCCATAATTAAAAGGACAAGTGGAAACCTTTACAGTCAAAAATACAAATGAGATGTTCAAATTGGTAATCTAATTAGGCATTAACAACTCAGACCAGACAGAAGAAAAAAATGTTCACTTTCCTCTAGAATGAGGTACTTACAGCTTTCCATCTGCAGCTTACAGGTCTGTGTATCCAGTGGATATTTGGAAAGATCCATGTTACATGCAACAGTGGTGGTGATTCTGCAAAAGGAGAGAAGCCACCTGGATATTTATTATTGGGGGAGGGTTGTCCTTGGTGCTCTCTGAGCTTGCTTGTTTTCTTGCAAACGTTTCATTGTCCAAACTACGGTAGGTAACATCATGAGGGCTAGTAAGGGGTGCTGTTTGCTGTCGTTTTATATTCTGGTGTCTTGCCTGTCTGGGTGGGTGGGGGGCGGTCTTAGGGATTCTTTGGTTGGGCTGTTTACTAATGGCTCTGTGGCAGTTTCTTGATTGGGTTGTTGCTTACTTGATTGTTGGTCTGAAGGTGACCTTGGAGTTAATCTATGCTGATCTGAGTGCTGATTACTATTGGGGAGGTGCTGGAGTCTTTTTGTTCTCTTTTGGGCTGTTGTCTCTTTTGCATAGTCTATAGATGTTAACGTCTATGTGTCTAGTGATGGCTGATATGTCAGAGTGCCAGGCTTCTAGAAATTCACTGGCATTTTTGGATTTGGCCTGGTCTAGGATTGTCACATTCATTGTGATTTCTCACCAGCCAGTGGACCCGGCAGCTGAGTCTGGGGAATCAGAGGAGGAGGGGGGGGGCTGGAGTGCCATCAGAGTCAGAGGAAGGCTCTGATGAGCTCCAAGACTTACAATCTGACGAGGAGCCTGGCCCCTCCACTCGTACTCAGGCTGAGACACAGCTGTGCTGGGAAGCTGAGTCAGACTTTGAGGACTCACAGCTGGAAGACATCATAGATGCTCGCAAACACCGACAGGCAATGAGAGTTGGACAGAGGAAGGCAATAGGACGGCTCCAAAGGCAAAGGAGAAGGTATTAAGAAGCCACGCCTTTGGGAATGCATAATAAAAAGGGAAGGTGTGGGAGGTGCTGGTTGCTGAAGACAACCGTTTGTGAAGGAATCAAGTTTTATTGAATCGTGTTTTGTTTGCCTGTGCCTTTGGAACAATTTTCTGTTTGAGAAAGAATCAAGTTTCATTTAATCGTGTTTGTTTGGCCTTTGCCTTTGGACATTTTGCACATCTGTAAATAATAATAAAAGGGGTTTGTTTTTCCTACGGTTCCAGCCTACTTGTTGGAAGAAGGGTTTCTCCTTGTGAGTTAACAAGGACTCACATAGGCTGGGACAGAACAACATTTTCCCAATTGAAACTAGGGTTAAATCTGTCTATATGTTGTGAAATTAAATAATTTTTGTCATGCCTTTTGATTGTCATTTATTATGGGGCATCTGTATGCTTCATAGCAGTCCATAGATGGCAATGTTTCTGCTTTGAAGATTAAGCAACTGTTAATACTTATTGTAACTGCAAGTTACACTTTCCTTTGATGTCTATGGAGATTCTCAATTTTCCATGTCATAGTTGTCCCAAAAGTGCTTTTTCCAAAATTGGACTTTCTTGGGTTTTTTTCTTTGAAAATGTTTCACTTCTCATCCAAGAATCTTCTTCGGTTTTAACTTAGAGCTGAAGAAACCGCTTCGATGAGAAGCGCAATGTTTACAAAGAAAAAAAACCAAGAGTCCAGTTGCCTTTTGGAAAAAGCATCTTTGAAACTTTCCTTTGATGGTTAGCATGCATCTAGATAGCTTCACTTACAAAAATAAGAGGACCCATATTAGTCCATATATTAGTCCATTAGACACAAACTGCTTTGTGCAAGAATGGGGGTGTGCTCTAGTGCAGCTTCCACATAAGTGCCACACAACAGATCCTGGAGATCATAGGTTGGACTATATTTTTATATAAAAATGAATATGAATGGCTTCTTTTTTTATTTGGGGGTGAATGGATGGGTATGACACATTAGCAGAACCAAGTTAGGAGTTTTTGACATGCTGAGCCCCAAAAGGTTTGCCATCACTAGTATTGACTGCAGTAATCTAAATGAGAAGATGTAAGATTGTGGAAATCAAGCTATTTTTACCCAGGTAGAACCTAGATGCCAACATGCCAGCCTAAGCTGTTACAAAGCACTCTATGCAAAAGAACATTGATGGAGCATCAAACATGATCCTTTAGGGGAAGATTAACCCCTTTCAAAGTTAGTTGAACCACACTTTTCCAACCAGCCCATCCATTCTCCAACTATATCTTCATCTTACTGGACTAAGCATCCATTTACAGACCCTTGTGCAGAACTGGTGTATCAGAAGGCAAGCAAGACTTACCGCAAAGCATACAAGACAGTCCCATTGGAGAACAACCGTATAAGCCGATTCTCTACTGTAACTTCATGTAAGAAAGATCTTTTTGACTCCACAATATATGTGTCAGGTACCCATAGGTATTTCACCAGCCGGGCGTCCAGAGTAAAACTTCGGTTTCCCTTAAAAACCAGACGGGGATCGGTCCAGCGTTGTCGCAAATATATTGTTGCAGTATAGTCCTAGGAAGGATGGTGAATCATGAGAATTAAGACTGTGATTTTTGTAATTCGAATAAAATTTACCAGGCAAAATCTTTCAACAAGAAATGGTTCCATCATTTTATCCAGAATTAACATTAAACATTTAATAAATTCTGTCCCTTGTCTTAATAAGTACTATTTATAGGTACCCATGCTGAACTATGTAGTTCTCAAATTGCTCTATATTCTTTCTTTTTTCTTTTTGTCTATAAGACCATAGAGTTGGAAGGGGCATAAGAGGTCACACAGTCCAACTGCTTGCACTCTATTGGAATCAACAGCAACAGACCTAATAGATAATTATCCAGACTCTGTTTTTTTTTAAAAAAAACTCCAATGAAAGGGCTAAGAGTTTCCGATGTACTATTCCAGGCCATAAATACCATTGCATAACTACCCAACATTGTTTAAATTCATACCTTTGAGGCAGATACAATCTGGGTGTGGATGAATCTTTTTGTCTGCCTACATTTTTAGGTCGTCATGTGTCAAGTCAGATATAAAGCATTCAAATATCAAGTTTTATTTTACTTCAGTACTGGCTGAAAAAATTCAGTAGGTTGTTTTACAGGTTTATGATCTAGGCTCAATTTATTATTTGAAAATGAAATTGTAAAGGCGTGTGTGGATTATTTTGTATGAATTAAGGCTTTAAAATTGTAGAATACCTATGACAATTTGAAATGTGAATTGTTTTGTATTTTTATTATTGGATTTTCTTTTAGTTAATCTCCTTTTGCTTCTTTTGAATATATTATTTTCCTTTTCTTTGGTTTTTCTTTGTTTACATATGGTCTTGTTTAGTTTTTTTTCCTTAAATAGTTTCCTTCTCTGTACAATTGTTTTTGTACAGATTTTATACAAAAATAATATTTTATATAAAAATAATATTTATCTATGGTCATAAACCAAAATTTCATACAGTACTAAGTACCATAAAACATGAATAAAACTATAAAACTAAAATGGTAGATTATTAGGCATCATGAATATTTATACATAAACCTGTAAATAACCACTACTAATTTTAATGATTTTGACAAAAAATCAATTATAATTTTAAAATATCAATAAAATACACACACACATGCACAGACACACACGCACACATACACACATGTGCACACATACAATTGTATGCATGTTTGCATAAAGAAAAAGCATTCAGCGTTTAACTTTTAACTACCGAAGACACACTGTGGACTTCCAGATTTTATCTTCGTGCTGTGAGGAAGAAAAGCTGTTTACCTAAATGACTGAGATAATTCACCGTTATGCATTTCAAAGCAGTGAATTATTAATCCCTGCAATGAAGGTGAAATCCCCTGAGTCATTTATACTTCAATTATTTATCTAGACCTAGAATACATCTATATAATGTTCTATGTGAGACCTGGACAATACACATGATATACAATAAGAATCACTAGTGGATGCAGAAAATATTTGTTGATTAATAGCTTGGATGTATCAGAAAAGTTAGCCTTACGAAAGATTATGTCAAGCTATCTAATGTTTCCTGTATGTTCAAAACCTCATTAGATCACAACTTTCTACCTGGTACTGTCTTTAGGCTGAAAAATGTGGTGTTTTAAAGGCAAGGCTATTGGCTTTGGATTTTTCCAATGTATATGTCAGTCTCATCTCCAGAGCGTTTTACTTTAAGAAGATACCTCCAACATTTCAAATCTGAAAGTGTCGGCCATTTTGTTTCATGCAACTGTTTGGTACCGTTCTGGATGTCGTACTCCCCAAACTAAATCATAAACAAATTAGCAATGAAATAAAGATAAAACTGGAAATTAGTGACAATAACAGCATCATCATAAACAAACATAGAAGATGTGATAGGATCAAAGGTAACTCTGAGATACCCCCATGAAACAGACTTGTGGGGGGGCGAATCTTTCCTTCCTGAGTCTAAATGCTGGGGCATTTAGATACACATGACATGTCTCAATTAGGATTTTCACTAAACAATACAACACTTCATGGATGATGTTTTCTTGATTGATTGAATATAATAAATTGGTATTTGACTAAACAAGCGTTATGCAGAAAAAGAATAGAAAAAAACTATATCCCCCAGGCCAAGAAAGCAGGTAAAGCACCTCTTCTAAGGAGACCTCTTCATTTGTTTTCCTTTGGTCCATGAGGCAGCAATAAAGAAATAAAATGTCTTTATTTGACTCTGTCCTCACAGCCAATTTCTATTTTTCTTTCAAACAGGGTTACAGTTCAGAAGTTAAGGAAAGTGATTGGTACATTTTCCAATCACCTTCCTGTTCATGGAGGAAGGGGGGGGGGGTTGAGATAAAAAAATAAATCTGTGGATAGATGGGAATCTCTGGCTCACTTCCTTTTTTTTCCAGGAAGCTCCCATTCACAGATCAGATGGTGCAACTCCCACCCACCCCATGACTGATCTCTTTGTGTAAATAAAGTGCCCAACCTGTGCTTCACTATGGGTGCTTAGTGCCTGTTGCGTCTGCTGCCAAAATTAAAACAGTCAGAGAGGGGTGGGATACTGCTTGTAACAGCCCAGTAGAGCCAAAAAGATGCCAACTGCAGTATAATCAGCCCCCTGGTTATTTCTAAACATACAATAATGAATGTGGCAAGGTTTATACTAGAAAAAGAGAGAAGACAACACTATAACACTGAATTAATTAAAGAGAAAGCCACGTGGCTTCAGCTGTGGATTAGGGATAAGATAAAGGAGATGAAGATATGTCTGTCAAGAATGGCTAGTGAATTGTCATCAAGATACAGCTAGAAGGGCTTGAATGAGCCCTAAAGCAACATTGATATCCCATTGTTCCTGTATTATGAAATTTTAAAATTAAAATCTCGTGCATAATTACTCAGTAGCAGTTCTTCAGAGATCATTGAGAGACTTTAGTGAACTGTTTTACCTGACCTGTTACATCACAGTCCCAATGTCCACTCTGAATTTGTACCAGTTCCACTGAATTGTGCACAAAAAGTTGCTCATGATAGAATGAAGTGTGATCCTCAAATCCAGAACATGAAGCAAAATCCACTTCACTTAAATGGTCTCTCTATCACTTATATAAATGATCTTGAAATTTATTTGGCAAGGAAGGAAAGCCAGAATTAAACTGAAAATGCTACAAGAAGCTAAAGAAAATGGAGGATTTGTACTACCAGATTGGGTCTTATACTACCAAGCACGTGCTCTAACATGGTTAAAAGAATGGATATGCCTTAGAAACAAAAGGTTGTTATATTTAGAAGGACATGACTTGCAACTTGGATGGCATGCACTTTTATGGTATGAAAAGAATAAAACCCATAGATTATTTCCAAAACCATTACATAAGAAACACTTTATTATTTGTATGGGAAAAGATAAAATCTATACAAAAATCCCAGGATGGTTATCAACGATGGAAGCATTCATTTACCCAAACTTAGTTAAATTTGAGAAAATTCTAACATAAGGATATTTTGAATACAAATGGGAAATTAAACTCTAAACAAGAGTTAAAAGATCAGGGTATTGACTTATCATGATGGCCTCAACTGCAAATGCAATCAAGGTATGATAAAGATGTTAAAATATACATTTTTATAAAGACTAGACAATGTTTGATCAGGTGTTGTTGACTTCTAATATTTTATTAGTTTTCTAATTTTACAATTAAACATTTAAAAAGCAACGTGGTGGCTGGGTAGTCAATAATTCAATAACATACATAAATCTTTAGTACAAATCTCAAGTTATAACATCAGATATTTCCTCTCTTTTTCCCTTAATATCTACTATCTCATATTAAGCTAGTATAGTTCTTATTATTATCAACTAAGTAAAACCATTTTTGTTACATCTATCAATAATTTTTAGCTTATACATATCTTAATTGTGTTTACATTCAATCCTTATATACAATCAATGTCCTGTTATTACCTTTTTCCCAAGCTTTAATTTCCCATCAATATTCAAATTAACATTTGGTATTTATAATTTCCAAGCTGCAGGTAACCAAAGTTTCCCTTATCTCAACTTCTTCCTTTTTCCCTTTTCATAACAAAATCTAATATTCTAAATATGCATCTTATGTATTTGCATATAATCATTGCTCTGTTTCCCCTGGGTAGTTAGTCGCCGCTGTTCTTAGAGGGTGGGGTAGAAATTCCTTTCCCTCTCTCCTCACAGGGGGAAAAGTACTTTGAGCAGCTTTTACAGGAAAAGATATTTAAGGTCTTAAAGAGAAGATCAGATCTCACCAGTTTCATCCGCGTTGCTTTAAAGGTGCTTGGTAGTAATTTTGATTTTGGCTGTCAGCAGCTTAGTGACAAGCCATATTGCTATGGCCGGTCTTTCCCCTGCCGGTTTGGAGAGCTGCCCTGGATCAAGCGGAAGAGCTGCCACCCTCCTGCAATCAAGCGGGGGTCCCTTTCTTGCTCGTCACCCCTACAGGGCGACTTTCGACCCTTTCCAGGGTACCCCAGCAGGATGAATTCGGGCGTGGAAGACGGAGCTCGCCTTCCTGCATCCGCAGGCTTTGCGGTGGCAAACTGGAAGTCAGGTGTTGTTGACTTCTGATGAAATACTGATTAAGAAATTGTATAACTTCTTATTGAATTTGAAAATGGAAGACGAACTAGAAAGAGTACAGAGAAGAGCAACAAAGATGATTAGGGGACTGGATGCTAAAACATATAAGGAACGGTTGCTGGAATTGGGTATGTCTAGTTTAACGAAGAGAACGACGAGGGGGGACATGATAGCAGTGTGCCAATATCTCAGAGGCTGCCACAAAGAAGAGGGTGACAAGCTATTCTCCAAAGCGCCTGAAGGCAGGACGAGAAGCAACGGATGGAAACTGATCAAGGAGAGAAGCAACTTAGAACTAAGGAGAAACTTCCTGACAGTTAGAACAATTAACCAGTGGAACAACCTGCCTCCAGAAGCGGTGAATGCTCCAACACTGGAAGTTTTTAAGAGACTCGATAGCCATTTGTCTGAAATGGTGCAGGGTTCCTGCCTGAGCAGGGGGTTGGACCAGATGACCTTCAAGGTCCCTTCCAATTTTATTACTATTATAAGTGAAAGAAACAATGATAATATGGACAAAACTTTTTGGATACAATATAGAATTAGAGAAATGGCAAAATCTTTGGGAAAGAAACTATAAATTGACAATGGCAACTTCATATAAAGAAAACTTATATAAAATGTTTTATAGATGGCATCTTTCACCTGTCAGATTAGCAAAAATGTTTAAAAATATGTCTAGTAAATGCTGGAAAGGTAATCAAAATCCTGGTACATATTATCACCTGTGGTAGACATGGTGGACATGTGTGAAAGCAAAAATACTTTGGACAAAAATACATACTTGGATAGAAAAGATGTTAGGGAAACACATAGTTTTTAAACCTGAATTTTTTATTAGGTATAATTTGAGAAAAATGTGATAAACAAAGTGTATATTTAACATTACATGTATTAACAGCAGCGAGGATTGTATTTGCCCAGCACCGGAAAAATGAAAAAACACCATTGGATGAAGAGATAATCAAGAAAATACTGGACTGTGCTGAAATGGATAGACATACACTGAGAATCAAAGAAAAAGAAGACACAGAATATTTTCAAACATGGAACTTATTTTATCAGTGGCTGGAAAAACGAGATAGAGAGTAAGAACTTAACTTCTATTACTAAGCAAAAAAATAACCCAGAAAACAAGTTGTTCATTAAGCACGAATGAAGTGTAATAATAGAAAATTAATAAAATACTTTTTTTAAAAAAAAGTTCCTCATGATAGAATGAAGCGTGATCCTCAAATCCAGAACGTGAAACAAAATCCACTTCAGTTAAATGGTCTCTCTACCACTTATATAAATGCCCAATGTTATTTTTAAAAAATGAGGGAATTAAAATAATGTTATTAAAGCCATGAAATTACTTTCAAGCTGTACTTCTGCAGTGCTAAGTATGCTTACTAGAGAGTGATGGAACTTAATTCTGGGTCAATCTGGATTGCAAAATATTAGCAGTCTAAGGGACTTTGTATTCTCAAAGCTGCAGTAGTATACTATGCAGTTCTATTTCCTTATGTGCACAGTAGGGATTATTTGCTTACCATATCACTTTCTGAAATGCTGGAAATACTGGCAACATCAAGGGTCATTGCTATTGTCACAGGTTTTCCTAGGAAATGGGGAAAAAGTTCCATTATAATAGCAAAATGATATTTCTTGTTGTGTGCATAGAAACCCAGCAGATTTTTCTCACACATCTCCAATAACAGACACTGATTTCAGGGAACAAGAAGAACAACGAAGGAGTCCAAAAGCAGCATCCTAGCACACAGAAATTCCTTAGATAACCTAAAGCAGGGGTAGGCAACCTTGGCTCTTTTATGACTGGTGGGCTTCAACTCCCAGACTTCAACTCCTGAGCATGGCTGGCTCAGGAATTCTGGGAGTTGAAGTCCACAGTCATAAAAGAGCCAAGGTTGCCTACCCCTGACCTAAAGCATATCCATTATTTCATTTTCCATGATAATTCCCTGCAGCTCAGCAGATCAATATATGGTTCCTTACATTAACTAACCGCATACGTCCCTAATTCATGGATATGTTTATCTGTGCACAGAACACTTGGAAGTTTACATCCACAAAGCCATATTTTCATGAAAAAATAACAGAATGTTATAGAAACATATGTTTCTAACTCCACAGTTGAGAGTTGGGGAAATGAAATGAGAATTGGTGACTGGATTGAGCCCTGTTTTAAATGTCAGGCAAAGTTAAAGTTCTTCCCACACCTAAAGAGCAGTTGTTAATAAGAGTTCTGCTCAAAATTATTGATTCTTCATCCTGTATCCATTTAAGGATAAATGGAACGGACTTAATGTTTTTTTTTAACCACTGAACCCAAACAATATATAATTTGGCTATACATGCACATTAAGAAAAATTGTCAGGATTATGGAAGATGGTTCTAAAAACTTCACCCAGCCTGCCCATACTATGTGACTGAACAAAAGTGCTGATGCTGTCCCATCCTAGCCCAGTTTTCTCCACTCTGGTGCTATCCAGCTGTATGGGCTGGAAATTATGACACTTGATGTCCAAACAATTTGAGAGCACCAGGCTTGCAAATCAGTTCAAAGTACTTTTTAGTGGAGAGGTGATCTAAGCATTTAGACTGCACAAATCAAAATCTTTTTGCCAATAGAAACATTCACTTCAAGAACTTTTCCAGGTTTTAACTTGAGTTTAAATTAGAATTGAGACTTGAGTTGTTGAAATGAATCATATGGCACAGGGATGGGCAAGGAATAATAGTCCAGCTACGGTAGGAACAAATCACATCCAAAAGTCTAATATTAAAGTTATTCTTCTGTAGCAAAGTAAGAAAATAATTTCTCCCTCCAAGGACAAATGATTGCTTTGTTTGACTGAATCACAGAAATGACATACCTCCAAAATTTGGCCGGAGATATTTGTTATATCCCTTAGTGAGATTCCCAAATCCAGGAAGGTAGGATGTAACTGGATAGTCAGTGCTGTGAACTTTTTGACACAAAATAAACTTTCTGAAAAGGAAAAAAAAATTAGCATAGTAGTATAGTAGTAGCGTAGCTTATCTGCCATAAAATTGTTTGTGCTGGCCATTAACCAAATAAAGATTATTTTACTTGACTTAGCTATGAAGTTGTAGTCCTGCTTCTCACCTCATATCAAGTACCAAATATAAATTTGCAGCATTTATCCACTGTTCTCTAAAAGAGAGTACAATATGTTACATTAGCCCTCAACAATATTAAAATAATTGATCACCAAATTAGTAATGGTGGTAGAAGAAAAAATGGGACGAACTTAACAAAAGACGTTATTTAACAATATCAACAACAAAGCAGTCTATGATCAAAAGCAGTCATATATGGACTCTGCAAAATTTAAATAATATTCCTTAAGTATTTTGCAGAGACTAAAAAGGGGTTGCTTTATGAAAATGTGTATTGAAATAAAAAGAGCTCCCCTTTTTAAATAATGTTTAGGGAAGGAGGAAAAAGCATTTAACCTGTGATTCTGACAGATTAGGATTGCCCACTTAACGGGATTAAGTAACAGTAATTGATACTGACTCATCAGAATACATGATGTCTAATTAGGTAGGACCACTTGAAAAGGAGATAAACAAAACGGGATGGAAGGTGATAATTGCAACAGAAGGAGCAATGAAAGCAGGAATGAAGGCTATATAAGCAGAGCAAAAGTAATAACAAATATAGGATTAATTAGAGGTGAGGTTCCAGATGTCACTTCCTTGGAATAATTAATTATGAAAATTTAGGGAATGCATGGCTCAGTGTCCTTTTTGTGAGAAGAATGCAAACAAAATATTAATACTGAGTTCTTTTGAGCTTGGAACATCAAGCCATTGTGTCTGCACTGGGAGATACAGTTTCCTTTCTGGCTGCACCAGGATAAAAATAATGGCTAAGTCAGTGGATAAATGCAACACAACAAACAACTTCAAATGAGGATATGGATTAGTTATCCCAACCAAGCAAAAGTTATTGTTGAACGCCTCCCTTTTGCTGGAGTTTGGCCTGGAATGCATAACAGTGCTCATCTGCCATCAAAAAACAATCCCCAAGTGGAAATTCAGTTTCAACATGAGGAAGAGGAGGGGGAGGAATAACAATAATGATAACAATAACAACAACAACAATAACAACAACAACAACAACAACAACAACAATAAAGCTTTATTATCACTTTGAATGTACACTAATCAGCATATATTAAAATGAAATTTCGTTGCATACAGGGTCACCACCTCCAATATAGATTACATAAATATGACAAAAATAAAAAAATAAATACAGAATTATGCATATACCCACATATATTACATGACACAGAGAAACAACACAGTCTAGTTCAGATTATGTATACATGTGCATGACGAGAAAAACAAATCTTGCGAGTTTACCAGAAGGATGGCATAGGGAAACAAAGCTATTACAGAATTGGGTAGCTTTCTGACCAGAGTTTGAAATACTCATCTAGTATTTAGATCAGGGATCCCCTAATCCCCGGTCCGTCGACTGGCACCGGTCCGTGGCATGCCAGAAACCGGTTCGCGCAAACAAGGCTCATCTGCGGGATGCAGGCAATACATGAAACCACACCCCCTCCAGTCCACGGAAAAACCTCTCTCCACCGAACCAGTCCCTGGTGCTCAAAAGGTTGGGGACCTCTGATTTAGATGATAAACTTATTCACTTTCCCTCTCTCATGATATAATCTTGGGTAATAAGAATAGGGAAGTAGGAACAGGGATTTTTTTTTAATGATAATACGAATATTGTAGGAATAGATAGTCTTCTGCCAATTACTACAAGAGTTTTTGGAGCAAAGCCTAGAAAGCATTGGACTGAAATATAACCTTCATATTAGTACCCAAAGGATGCTTGCCCTTTATGAGATGAAGAGTCAGAGTAGAAAATGGGATATATTTCTATGTGTGTATGTTCATGTGGATGGGTGTGGATGAGTAGGATAGGAAAGGCTGTCCACAATGAGAGAAACCTGCTACTTCTGCATTGTAGGAGTAGTAGGTATGCTTCCAAATCAGTGTCCCTATAGTTTTATTGGCAAGGTTTAAGAAGTGCTTAGTCATTGCCTCCTTCATAGGGTTGAGAGAGAGGGACTGGCCCAAAGTGACCTAGCTGGCTTTTGTGCCTAAGGTGGGAGTAGAACTTACAGTCTCCTGGTTTCTACATCAAACTGGTTCTCAGTATTGTATGGGAAGAACTGTGATAGTCTAGGGTGGTAAAAAAATCAAGAGTCTGACAGCACTTTTTATTCCTCCTGAACTCTTTGCTTCTATTTTACCAGATTTACTAGTTTGTTATCTTCCTATTAATAAAAAAATCATCCCATGGGAAAAAAGAGTTTTCCACATTATTCTTAGTCTGGAATGCTTCTGAATCCTTGTCTATAATCTCTACAATCTGGAAATCTGACTTAAAACATTTTAAACTCCTCATATGTCAGGCCCCAAAAACTATTTGGATTATATATTTCATACTAAGTCATCATCCTGGGCTCTAAAATCAACTGAAGTGGTGACTGTAGCCCTGATATCACAAGGTGTATAGCATTTGGAAGAATTGCAATGTCTGGCATGAATAACATCTGAAAGAGTAAAGACATCAGCCTCACAACCAAATGCAGATTAGTCAACACAATAATTTTTCCAATTGCTACTTATGGCTGCAAAACTTGCACTCTGAAAAAGGCAGATACCTTTGAACTGTGGTGCTGGAGGCAACTATTACACATCCCATGGATTGCAAAAATAACAAAGAAAAAAGTCCTAGACCGAACTTCATCAAAAATATCTCTTGAAGCCAACATAGCCAAACATATTTTGGTCATGTCATTCAAGCTGACTCACTCGAAAAGTCAATCATGCAGGGAGTGATCAGCGGAAAAAGGAGAAGGGGCCATTTTAAAGGATGACACTGGGATGACCATGGAGGATCTGAAGGAGGCGGTGTGAGACAGAGGGGCATGGAGAGTGCTGATCCATAGAGTGGTTGAGGGTTAGACTGAATGACTGACGACTAGGTCATTTCTCCCGAACCCCAGCTATTTCAAAATGGATTAACTGTAGTAAAAGATGAAGAAATGTGCCAATTGTAGTTTCTCATAGCGTCTTATTTTTTCAGGCTAAACCCTCTGTCCTGCTTTTGCATCAATCTGCTCATTTTTCATAGTACAGACATAATGTGCACATTTTAGCAGCCATTTCCCTAATATAATATATTTCTCTATGTGTATTTCACTGCCCCATGAATTTTTATACATACTTTTCTCTATTCATTTATTTTAGATGCATGTTTTGATTGGAGAAGTGAATCACAACACTCAGAATAAAGTGAATTTCAAAAGGTCTCATGTTCAGGAACTGAAGATTAGGAAGATTTGCATTAAAGTATAAACTGAATACATCTGAATAAACTGAATAAATATACTCCTCTGTTGAATGTATTTTTCAACTTACCCTTGACACAGAAGAAAGAGCCACACAAGGCTGGAGAAATAATAACTGCAGTGCATTTGTGAAGATTATTTGGTGCTGGGTATAATTCTTCAGTTATAGTCTGTGAAGAAAAGCAGAGAAACGACAAATTTAATTTTCCAACAAAACCCTACAGTAGCAAAAGAGGCCATTACATCAACTTACTAAAACTAAGATTTTCTATCTACTCCCACACTAGATAGCCGCCCTGAGTCCCTCGGGAGAAGGGCGGGGTATAAATTAAAGTAATAATAATAATAATAATTCTTTTTTAGTGGTGTTTCTCAATCCTGACAGCTTTAAGATCTGTGGACCATGTTGGCTAGGGAATTCTGGGAGTTGAAGTCCACGCATTTTCAAGTTGCCAAAGCTCAGAAACACTGATATAAAATAACACTTCAGATCATATCCAGTTTTGCTCATATAAAGGCTATCTCACCTGATTTTTTTTGTCTTTCAGCTAAGAGACCTGCATATTTCATGCTAAAGAAAGAATTTTAAATTCAACAGCTAGAATTTATATTTTCAAAAGAGATGAGTGGGTGGGTTACATATATTTGCTTGCTTCCTCCCACAACCTTAGGCACATTTATTATAACCTTAGCCAGGATGATACTAATTTGCATGTCTGAAAGATCCCCATCAAGCCAGTTATTAATAGACATAGCACATTTGGATATATTCCCCACTATCAGCCTGAGCCTGATGCAGCATTCTTAAAACTCCAAAGTTGCCTTTAATTTCATACAGCTTGGCCTACCAAAATGTTGCCTCTGTAGATGTTGGGTTTTTTTTCTCTATAAATAAATATGTAACAGTCAATGCCTTTTAGGACTGTATCAGCTTGTTACGTGCTAGCTTAATAATTTGCATTTCTCCATTAACCTGCAATATCTCTAGCTAACTATCAGTGTTCCATATTTAAATCTAACTCCAAGATACATCTGTATTTAAATATTTGTTTTACAAGTTTTTTATGTATTGATATCCATTTTAGTTTAGTTTAAATTAATATTAGCAGAGAGTGACTCTTGAAGCATTTGTGCAGCTATGTTTATGGAAACTGATGAAATATTTAGTAGAAAGTGTTCCAGATAACTGTGCATTTTAATTTCATGAAAAATGTTTTAATTTTTGATTGAAAAAAATATAGTCCATCTCCAGACAAATCTGGTGCTTAATACTGGATGCTGTAAACTGTGGCTCAAAAGGTCTGGAGTAAAAACAAACCCAGCTAAAGAGGTGGAAAGTCACCAACTCAAGTTATAGTAGCCTCTGGGTGAGAGTTGGTTTTTGATGTTGCCACAGTCTGTTGGTTCATTTCTAAAGGTATTGTTATTTGGAACAAAGTATTCAAATGAACTGTTTTTAAGTGGTTCTGTTGACTTTTCTGGGAGTGGGCATGGCCCCTTGGCTTTAGGCCTAGAAAATATAAAAAATTAAACTCATCCAACCATGAGTGGTGTGATACCTGTTGCCTTTGTTTTATGTTGTGCAGGACCTTCTTGTTCACCAAGAGAAAACAATGGAACAAGATTACCTCAGGGGATGTGTATTTCTCAGATCTTTCAAAAGGTATGCCCTTGAAAAGCCCTTGTAGTTTTTGGGGAGTGTATTTCTTTCACAAAAAGATCATTAATGGTAGACCAACATCCCTGAAAGGCATCTGGCCACAACAATGCTCATCATAGGAACAAATCAAATGCCATTCGCAAATCATTGAGAGCCAGAGCTTGAACTGTGTGGTCTATTTGTGCCTTTCTTTAGTTTCTGTGGTACACTCTTGACTGGATAGAAATTTCAACCAGGATTTCCAGGAACTGTAGAGAAAAACTGTTATAAAATAATGTTGAATAACCTTATCCACTGATATCCCACCTCATATCTGATTTGTTTTGTTCTCTTTTTTCCACTTCCATTTTAAAGAAAGAGATAATAATTTCAAAACAAACTACATAAGAATAGACGCTTGTACACTCTTCTTTTTAAAGGGGATATTGTTACTCAATATTGACCAATGGGAAAGAAAAAAAAGCTCTTTGATGAAGATTCTCAGTCATCCAGGTAGAATTGTCTGGGAGTTGAGTCCTGGCAACTAGACTTATTTTCTTGTTGGTTTGAGACGTTTTGCTGACCATCCAAAGATTCCAGTTGGAATCCTTGTTCAAATATTCTGGCCAGTTTAGCATACGTTCTCTGCTTGGCTTATGAAGGTTGCTGTTGTTGTTGTTGTTGTTAAAGGAGGCCCCATGCCACTCCCCCAAAACCAACATTTATTGGCATCCCTCAAAGTTCATCTTTAGACCATTAAATGCATTCCTGCTTTTAACAGACACGGCTCCATGGCTGCATTGCCAATCATTAACAAAACACAATTCAGAAATTTGATTCAGAAAACCATTCCAGTTTTATTTAGGCATTTAAATTGATTGATTTACATTGATTTGGTATTTTTTTTTCTGAATCCATGAGAACTAGAATGGGACAGAAGACATACCCTCTGGATGTGTTAGATCATAGCTTCCACAACTAATACTGAGTTGATTGTCCAGGCTGTTTGCTAAAAATCATGGGATTTGTACTAGGGCTTCCATACTTAGGCTGCAAAAATCTGCAGTGCAACAGTGCAGAGATACAGAAAACTTTCTGTTTGCAGCTGTCTAGTGGTTGGCCAGAATTTTTTTTTAACCCAGACATCATAGTCTTAATTTATATTCAGACCCATAAAGAGAGTGAGAAGCTATGGAACGCTATATGGAATGCAGTATTAGTTTTAGTTGCCTTTGAAATAATATATATATTTTCTTTTTAGTAAACATGCTTATGTTTGCACCATGTGCTATTTCTGATTACACCAGATTAATAACTTACACAATAAAAAAATGAAGAAAGCGGCTTGGTATCACAAATGTTCACTAAAAACAAACTATAATTTGAACATATTCAGCATAACAAAATCTACTTTAACTACTGTATATGCCATGAAATATGCATACACATTACAAGAAAAAGGTTGGGGAAATATATTAAGATGCTGATTCGAGAGCCAAGAGCCTTCTTGTAGGGGAAATGAGCGGCATAGAAATCTAATAAATAAGTAAGTAAGTAAGTAAGTAAGTAAGTAAGTAAGTAAGTAAGTAAGTAAGTAAGTAAGTAAATAAGTAAGTAAGTAAGTAAGTAAATAAATACATCTGCTTAGAGACTTGAGAACATTTTTTTTTAAATTACATCAACATTCCAGAAATCAATGAGATCAACCAATCTGCAAGTGTTCTTTTCTTGGCCTTTTTCAGAAGTTGTAACTATCACAATTCTCTCTTTTAAAAACAAACAACAATCACCATAACAATAATCATAGCTAATATTTTTTTCATCCAGATTTGCACATCACAGCATGCAAAAGCTAGCACGTGGCCAGGCAGACTTTCAAATCATGTGGCCCCTTGTCTTCTCCTTCTCCCAGGCAGTAGGTAATTTAATCAGTGTTCAATCTCATGCTGATATAATATCAGTTTGTTATTTCGTATGAACCAAAGATGGTGATTCAAAACAAGCTCTGATGAGTGAATCAGGACAGCTTTATGCCCCTTGTTTCAAATTGTTTGGCTTTGAAATTGCCAGCCCTTCACGGTGGACCAAATCGGGAAACAGGCCCGGAGTCTGAAGCTGTGTGTAGTAAGGCCAGAAATATGTGAAACTATTTGAAAAGCAAAAGAGCTCAAAGTTGAGCTAATGCATTCTTTGTTCATGGAAAGTAGCCATGTCTACGTCAGCCTTAACAGGCGGTATCGCTCAGCTGATCTGACCCAAATGTAGGTAGTGCTCAGCTTATGACAACAAATGAGCCCAAAATGTCTCTTGCTAAGCAAAACAATTGCTAAATGTGCCCCATTTTGCAACTTTTGTGCCACAGTTTTTAAGCGAATTGCTGCAATTGTTAAGCGACGTGTGAACAAGTACTTTTATAACTCCTATACCTTATCTGCTATGAGCTGTGTTTCCTGTTTATGTAATTAAGTGAAACTAAGAAACTTATATATATATAGGTAGTCCTCGCCTTACAGCAGTTCATTTAGTGACCGTTCAAAATTACAACGGCGCTGAAAAAAGTGACTTATGACCAGGGCTTTTTTTTGTCAGAGAACGCCCAGAACAGAGTTCCGGCACCTTTTTTGGATGGAACCTTGTAGGGTAGGCAAGGCGGGTTGTATGATGTGTGTGAGTTCCAGCACCTTTTTTTTTTTTACAAAAAAAGCACCGCTTATGACCATTGTTCACACTAATGACCTTTGCAGCATCCCCATGATCACATGATTTACATTCGGATGCTTGACAACTGGTTCATATTTATGACTGTTGCAGTGTCCCAAGGTCATGTGATCCCCTTTTGTGACCTTCTGACAAGGGAAGTCAATGGGGAAGCCACACTCACTTAAGAACTGTGTAATTTTACAACTACAGTGACTCGCTTAACAAATGTCGCAAGAAATGTCGTAAAATGGGGCGAGACTCATTTAACAAATTTCTCTGCAACATTAATCCTGGGCTCGATTTTGGCCATAAGCCGAGGACTACCTGTACTTGATTTAAAACACATTTGGGGTTCTTCCAGCCTAATGTGAGGACCCACCTTTGTCCAGGCCTGAATAAACGGGTGACTTAAACTCTGTCTCTTTGTTCGGGCCCGAGTTGCGCCTGGTTCCCTGCTTGACACTATGGATATGTGTATTGGGAAGAGAGGGGATTACCACCTAGTGGTGCTCATTTGAAAAATGTAGAATGACTTATCAGGAGCCCTGAGGAACCAAGACTGCCAGTTGATTGACACTTACTAACCTACAGCAAATGTGAGTAAAAACCTCCTATAGCAGTGATGGCGAACCTTTTAGAGACCGAGTGCCCAAACTGCAACCCAAAACCCACTTATTTATTACAAAGTGCCAGGGCTGCATCAGTATTGTGGTGCCCTCAGGGGGGGCGTGGGGGCATGGCCCACTGGGTGGGCGTGGCTGCAGTGGTCACGGCAGACTGGGTGAGCGTGGCCGGGGCAAAGTCAGTGGGGGCCAGTCCCT